AAGTTTGGAAGACTGGAAGCTTCATCCCTGTCATCTTCTGAACTGGTCACTCTGAGCAAGGTGAGTGGTGTGAAAACTCAGGAGTGATTTGTTAATATGGATTTGGAATGGCTGCGGAAGTATAGCTACACTTTTCATTTATCTATTGCTACAGAGAACAACACAGGAAACAATACGACCAACAGTGTATCGTAGCTCAGACCGCAAGTTTTGGAATGGGACAGACCTGGGTTTAAGTCTGAGCTTGAACAAACACTACTGTGGAATTCTCATGGAAATCACTTCAACTCCTTGCTCTTTCCCTATAAAAATGGTAATACACTGTATAAACATGCAAACTAAATGACGCACTCTCCAGGAAACACCTAGAACTCCTTAGGATACAAACTGAATGTTCTCTATGGTCACAGTGTTTTCCTTACTAAGACGAAGAACATAAAAATAAGCTTAAATCAGATTATTTGAGAAATTCTTACATATATATCTCAAGACATTTTAGAACAAGTTAAGGATCGGATTACAACATAACTTTGTCTTAGAAATGTCTAAAATTAATGGTCATCACTCTTTAAGTTGGCTCAATTTGTCCTTCTGTTGAGATCAGAACTATATAATTAACTGTAACATCTTCCAAATGTGGACAGTGTATTCAAGGTTAGCCCGAAGTAACCACTGTCTTCTATTAATGAGCAAGAAGGACTATCTTCGCTATTGTTCTCAAATGTGGCATGTTGCTGCACATAGTGATTCAAAAATGTGTTCAGTGGTATGGTAGCAAATGTGACACAATGCGACGGACAGGCTTCAGGGAGATCAAATCCATTTTACAACTTTATAATTATTTATAAGCATATTGTTGAGATCTAGGACCACACTTGTAATTTACCAATGACTAGACCTGCTTACTTTAAAAAAATTGGGGATAAGCCAGGTGTGGTGGCACACACCTTTAATGCCAGCACTTGAGAGACAGAGGCAGGCAGATCTCTGTGAGTTCAAAGCCAGCCTGGCCTACATAGTGAGTTCCAGGACAGCTGGGGCTACAGGAAGACCTTGTCTCAAAAAGACAGAAAAAAATGGGTATATACGAGCACTGCCACTTCTGCAGATAGAAAAATAAATTTTGATGAGTTATCCACAAGGCAGGGAAGCATAACCTGTGGCCGCCTCCACTTTTCAGATGATGGTGGAAACATTTATTGCAATCTAGAACAGCCTTGTCTACAATTCCTGAGTATCCATCTCACTAAAAACAACAACAACAACAACAACAAAAAACCCCAAAACAGTGGTACATTTCAACAAAATGTTGAATATTTTACTCAAAATTTAATCTGGCCACGTGGCATTAATTTATCCCATATGTGTATTTCATATATATGTATATACACATATATTTATAAGTAGTAGTCCAATTATTGACGTCCAAAGCACTGCAGATTAAAAATTCCCTTAATGCTTATAAAGAGATCTGGAAAATATACAGAATTTCTGTAAAACAGAAGCATGTCACAAAGGCTCAACACTTGCTAATAACTCTGTGACATTAAATAAATGCACTGATTATTAACCAATGGACATTTCTTGTGAATACGGTCTTCATGGAAGTAGATAAGTGTGGGGCAGAGGGGAGCAAATAGCACAAAGTGTATAAGACATATAACTCTTGTACTCAATCAAGGATATAACATAAAGGTCATTATGCAAGATAGATTACAGAATTTGTAGTATATAGGTACAAGGTGTTTCATACATTTGTGCCTTTTCTACATATCTTTTGAAATCCTGTATATGTTTCATTACTTCTGTAATATTTTAAGTCAATCCTCTTTTTTTTTTCCACATCAGGTGTATCTAACCTGGGTGGGTGAATTCTTTCATAGCAGCTAACTCAGTGTGGCCCTGCTTCTTGATGACATTGTCAAGATAATCATGTTTATCTGTTCAAAATCTTTCTGTGCTCAGGACTACCTGGGTGCTTTAATATTTGAAACATGACCCTGCAACCATCACAGCTGAGGTTTCTGACCACTTCTCTGTCCTTCAGTGCTTACATATCTTTAGTCTATCTCCCTGCCCTGCCCTACTATTTCTTTCAGTCTCAGTGATTGACAGTCCCTACTCACGTTATGCAGTTACTGCTATTTATTTTGCCATTTCCCTCGACTTTTGACGCTTGTCTATTGTTAGCATTTTCTACCTCAAAATTCTCCATATTGGACAGAGATGTGAAGAATGGCAAGACAGAGAAGAACAAAGAGAATTAAAGAGATAACATGTGCATATGAACTCTCCCCTTGCATCCTAAAAAAAAAAAAAAACAAAAACCCACCAGTAGTGGTCAAACTTTAGCATCCCGACATCACAGAGATGCACTTTGAGAAACATTAACATGTATGAATTAAAATCATTTGAAATAACACACAGTCACAACAGAATGTCATCTCATTGTGCTGTATGCCAGAGAACTGGAGACTCAGTGATAGAATTCTAGGTACCGGTGCTACTTATTAAACTGTACCATGCACTGCATGAGCATATGTAAGATTGCGTCTGGCTTGAGAAGGTGCCCTGTTCTTAGAATATCTCAAAGGGCTCATTTATCCCAAGATAGCTTAAAGATATCAGCTGAATCCATAAAGACAGACTCAAACCAGCAAATCTGAGGAAAGACTGATTTTTAGAATGTAGCTGAATAAGGACTTTAGCTCGTGTGTAATATTTCTGCTCCTTTTATAAATAACAGATTAATTATCACATTACTCAGTAGTAACTTTGTAATGAATTACAGCATTCCTTTATGATTACCCATGGATTCTTGCCAACATGTCTATCAGCCAATCAGAAAGTGAAGGTGGATCATGATTTATGGGCCAGCATGGTGTTGGCCCAGGAGTGTACTCCAAGAATGCAAAGCCCAGCTTGCAGGGAACTCTTGGTGAATGACATCTATTACTTTGAAACCCCACAGAGGCCAGAGTCGTACTTTTCTTGGCCCAATTTCTCATTTGCTTAGAAGAACACACAGTAAGTCATATGGGTAAATCAATGATAATTAAATGAATACTTCAGAGATTTGTATTACAAATATGAAAACGATACTGTCAGATAAACAAAGTGTCCATAGTTGCTGACTGGATAAAACTCTTCCACCTGGAGAGTACTGCTGAATAAAGCCAATGGAGATCCAATTAGTTATGCTTATTAATGAACTGCAAACTTGACTCAATAGGGAAAACAAACTGAAGTTCAGGTATGATCCAGTAGCAAGTCTTTCTTCACTCAAGATGATTGTCATGGGAAAGAATTCAGTTAGGACTCTGGGCGAGAAAGACTACCTCTCCACCACATCCTTTCCTTAGCAGGCAGTAATGGTGATGGCAAAGGATTCGGGAAATGAACAGCATGCTGCCCGACCACAAATATCCATCATGCTCCCATCAGTAAGTATGAAGCAGGCAAGCCCTTCGCCTAGGTTTAAAGCTGATGAATCATCTGTCTGCTTTCCCTAAACCTCAAAGAGCTACTCAGCTTGGTAGAGCTGGGACCCTTGTCAGCCCCTGGATCCCTTCAAACAAGGTATCATGCTGAAAAGGCAAGGTAGGAGGTTTTCTGAGGTGCCTTTAGTTTCTCACTCTAATAACTTGCCCTTTAATTCAGGAAAGGATATTTCCCTCAAAAAATCTTGATGAAGTTACTTTAAAAATTATGTGCCTGTGCTCACTCTGCTAAATAAAAAAATGGGCATTTGTGAAATTCTACCATAAACTGGGGTTTTTCCTGTTCTACTATCTCCATGGAAACACATACATACATACAGACAGATACAGACAGACAGACAGACACACACACGTACACACACAGAGTCTTCATACGCATTCAAAGGAAGAACACTGTCTTCTCGGGAAACACCTGCCTTGAGAGTTCTTGGTGCATGTCTGGAGCATGCACAGGGCGGAGCACACAAATGGTGCAGTGACTCTTTCAGAAGTCACACTTGTCCCTGAAACTTCAGTCACCTGGAGACTGCACACCTCATTGCCTGCAGCAGCTCAGCCCTCATCCTCAGTGGAGAATGAAATCTCATTTGAGTGTCAAAATCTGACTTGAGAGGCTAAACAGTGTAGTGCATTTGATACTGAAATAATCGTTCCTTGTGATTGTTATTGGTACAGCTATAAACAATCTCATTTGGGATTTTATGAGAAAGGAAGATAGTCCGAAGTAAACTAATGTAGCAGTTAAGGACACATCCCTGTTTTGATCCATAGAGAATTCCTGCCTCTTTTGCTCTGCAAGCTCACATTCACATAATTCCTAGAGTCTCTAGCATTCATAACCCACACACTCACAGGGAAGCAGAATTCCAAGTCCCTCCTTGTCAAAAATGAAGCCAGGCTGAAGATGTCAAAAGGTGGATATGGCACCAAGTGGATGTGTAATCAGTAATAAGAAATACATCGAGCCCCGTCATGAAAAGAAATCCCCCAACTGTCCAGGACACCCCCTCCCCCTCCACTCATTCACTGATTTATTAACCCTGAACAAAGACGTAACTGCAGGGTCTCAGAAACTTTATTTTGCTTTTTCTTTTTGTGTATTTTTTTTTTTTGGTCATTCTTTTGAATTAGCTTTGAATTTCATCTTATCTAGTCGTACCATTGCCCATTTTCCTCACTCAGTTGCCCGTCATTCCCCGCCCCCAGAAATGAAAGAAGCCCTTAGCTTCTGTCTTAAGGATGAGACCTCTGCATTTTCTTTGCTTGTTTAGGGCAAGAAATGAAGTGTTGCCTCTTTAATTGGCAGAGCATGCAGTAGGAGCATACCTTTAATTTAGTGTTGGGATACCTTACTTGCACCCTGGCTGTTGTCTTATTGGAGACGGCAGCCTGCCTGAGATCCTCTAGCACTGAAATAATATCATCCAGCACGCATTTCTTATCCTGATTTCTCAACACACACAGATGGGAAAAAGTATAATTATAGCCCTTGTGGTTCACCTTCATTTCCAGCACGGCTCGGTGGGTCTGCAGGATCCCCTCAGCCTGGAGCAAAATATTGTCCCCGGGTGGGGAGAGGAGGATCACCCTGCCATACCTCCCAGGGGTGTGTAAGTCCGAATAGAGCTGGCTTTTGGACTGGTCCAGGGGGAAAAGGCTGCTGGCTAGGCTGCGCTCGATCTTGGCCAGGCTGTGGCTGGGAGCAACCAGGCGCTCCAGGTCGCCCTCGGGCTGGAAGCGGTTGAGCGCGCTGAGGCCGAAGGTGATGGTCAGGACTGCCGGCACGGTGAGGAAAAAGACCGGGTGCCGGCTCACGCACAAGCCCAGCCTGTGGCAGAACGACTGGAGCCCTCTGCGAAGCACCTGCCGCAGCATCCTCCAGCAGATCCAGCTCACAGGCGCTCCCGGCCGTCTTAAAAAGCACATGGGACACGTGTAAGCGCCGGGGCTGCCCCGCTCTCCCCGGATCCCACCTTCCTCCCCCAGGGACCAGCCCCCTCCCCACCGCCGCCACCGCCGCCGCCTCCCCGCCCCCCCCCCGCGCGCACCCCACAACCACTCCTCCTGGTCTTCCCCCGGCCCCACCTCCATGCGCTCCTACTACTCTTTCAAACACTGCAGTAAGTTGCAGCAAGGCGGGCAAGTCGCGGGTACGCGCGTGGGGGGCCGGGGGGCGGGCGCTGCGGGGGCGCCCGGGGGGCCACCCGGTGTCCCCGGTGTCCCCGGCCTCCCCGCGCCCCGGCCAGCCGCGCGCGCCGCCTCTCACCGCATGAGCAGCGTCCCCGCGCTCTAGCCCTTCTTCATCTCGCTGCTGCAGTCCCCGGGCCTCCCTCGCTGGAGGTGGTGGTTCTGCGCCGAGAGTCCCACAGATGTGGATTTCCTCCTCCGTCCTGATGGGGTTCGGTGTCTTACTGGGACCATGTGCCTCGCGGTGTTGTAAAAAGGTGGCCGGGGGGGGGGGGGGGGGGGGGGGGGGGGGGGGGAGAGGAGGGGGGGGGGGGGGTGGCAGGGAAGCTTTCCTCTTAAGATGCTGACAGTTATTTTTAGAGTTTTGTTTTCCTTCCCTCCCCGCTGGAGTGAATGGATGAGGAAAAGGGTGAAGGCGCTGCTGGCCCATTGGAGCAGGGACGTTAGGGAGGGGCGTGGAGAAAGGGAGCTGGAGGCGCGGGAGGAGGCTTTCTTGCTCTTCTGGGTGCCCTGTGCCCTGGAATTCCGCCTTTTGGCCGAAGGACAGAGAGCAGAGAGGATGATGCTGCATTTTTATAAACCTTGCACAAAGCATGCAAGGGGTTTCCTTGCAACACCTTACACGCTGCCTTGCCACACATTGGTCCCCAGCAGCTGAGGACTGCCTGAGACCCCATCTATCCATGTCACTGCAGCTCTCTGGAACCCTTCCTTTCCCTGGAGGTTGGAGAAGTGGTATTTGAAGCCTCCTGTGCTGTGTGGCTTGTGTGTGTGTGTGTGTGTGTGTGTGTGTGTGTGTGTGTGTGTGTGACACAGGCAATGTGTGGCTTCTTGCCAGATATTACACACACATTCTGTACCTTTGAGTTTTCAGGACCTAAAAGTTCTTAACGCTGGCCTCTGCCCCCTCTCTTCATTTCCCCCTCCCACCTCACCTCTGGGGACTGCTTTAGGACATTTAATTTAGGCTGTCTAATTTTCTCCTGCCAAGGGAATTTCAGAAGCAAACACTCTCAGACACACAGCAGGCAAAGGTTTTGCCCGAAGAAAGAGAACTAGGTGGACAGAGGAAACATTCTAGAGACCTTTGGAGAACACGAAGTCTTCATCATACACAGAGAAATCTCCAACAATGCTTCCCTCAGGACTCCAAAGTAAAGGCCAGGAACCCACCACGTGAAGACCAGGTCAACTTCAAATATTAACAGTTGCATGCCTGTATTTTTAAACTTATTGGGGGTACTCCTAAGTTGATGTTTTGGGGTGAAAATGACAAAGAAATCTTGGGGCCAAATGGTGAAATTTGATTGGGATCTGGATACCTGCTTTCTAAAGTTTCTGTTTTGGGGGTGATTTCTTCAAGAAGATTGTTTTAAGAGATTCTTTAGGCACACTTTCTTAATAACAACCGGAGATCCGTTTTTCACCAGATTCTTAGTGAGGAACACACTTCTTCATACAAACAAGCTAAAGAACCCATCCTCTAAATGGATATTTTAAATATTTATCTATTTATGTATTTTTTTAGTAGAATTGGTCCTTCAGTTAAGGCAGCAGTGAGACAGCAGAGTTCAGGAAGAGGGATGATGTTCAAGGACTGGAATTTACAGGATTGTCTCATAGCTAAGATTGAGGAAACATTCCAGCCTTTGAAAACTGAAAATGATCTTGGTGACTAGGGGAGTGGCTTCTGTCATGCCCTTGAGGTTCACCAATAGCCCAAAGTGGAACGTTCTCCATATCTAAGACCTCACCAGTTTTCTAGGAAGGCCAGTCTACTGTCAGTCTCCCTCTCCTCTGTTCAGCTGTCAAGGTTTTTGCAATTTTTTTTCCTCTCCTTCAGTGGGAAGTCTCTTTTGTTTCCAACTGTCAAATTTTTATACCACTTCTTATAATGTATTCCATTAGTGCCACATGATTTGGAATTTTTGGCTATACAGCAAAAAGGAAAAGTATTAATATCTATCTTCCATTTTCTTCAGTCTGTTTATTACATTAACTATACTTGGTCATATACTTTGTATGAAATTTTCTAAGAAATAGTCCTTTAAAAAGGTAAAAAAGTGCAGACGCAGACTCCAGTGGATGAACTTGCACCGAGGGACATGTGGGTATAAATGCTTGACCGGATAAGACTTAACATATATGACAGAATGCATGAAATCTGGCAAGGAGGTATGGGAGGCATGGGTGGGGGAGAGGATATAAATTTGATTAAGATCTATTATATGAAATGCACAAAAACTCAATGAAAATATTAAAAAAAAAGAAAAGTAAAAACATTTAGGAAGGCTCCACCTCCTTACCTTCATGAATCAGCCCTAGCTCTTACAATCTTTCTGCCTCCTCTTCCACAATTATATGAAAATTTAAAAGCTCAATAAAAAGAATGATAAAATATTTTAAAAATTTTAGTAGTGGCCTCTGTTGAATATGTTACCTATTCTACTTTATAAATTAGGACACTAGTCAACAGAAAGATTAAGTGACTCCCAGACTGGCATTTGGGTATTTTTTTTCTCAGCACATTTCCCTTGTTAACAACAGATACACATTACACCTTGCTTCTTACAGTGAACAAATGTGTCATCATCCTTCCTTACATCTGACTCTGCACTTCCCTCATTTCCTTACCCAGCAGATTCAGTAGACTCTGTAAAGAACAAAGATAACAATATATAATTGACTAAAAATTGTATGATAACTCACTAAAATGAATTGACTGTTACAAACACACATCATGTGAAACTATGCCACATGGCAATAGGTTCATTAACTGTAAGTGAAAATGATGTACAATATGAAGTCACCTTGAAAGAAAAAGCGTATGCACAGACAAAAGATAAAGGCTGCATTAAAAGGTTTTTGTTTATAACTAAATGATGGGACTGATGGTGAGAGAATAAGAACTGTTCAATTTCATTAACAGTTTGAGATCACTGGAAATTTGTAGATAATAGAGAAAGTTGCCTCATAATCTGCATCTAATTCCCTCCATTATTAATCTTATATTAGTACAATATTTTTGATATAACGACTGAATCGATATTGATACATTATTATTAACCAAAACTCATACTTTTTCAGAGTTCCTCAGTTTCTATCTCATGTAATTTTCTGCTCCAGGATCCCATCTACAATTCCACATTAAATTTAGCGGTATTGTTACATTTGGCCTCTTTGGGGTTGTGACTTTTTTTTTTTTTCCAGATTTTCTTTCCTTTTGTTTGATTTCCTGAAAGCTTTGAGGAGAATTTGTGAGGTGTTTTATAGAATTTTTCCTACTTGGAAATTATCTGATGTTTCCTTAATGATTAGACTGGAACTTTATAGAGAAAGACCACAAAGGTAATTTTTTTTGACACAGTATGTGCCACCAGGACTGGCTTTTTGGTAATGTGTTTTGGTATCAATGCAATTTATACTTTTTTAATTTTAAGTTTTTTGTGAGAATTTAATATGAGTAGTTTATTTCCTATACTTCCACTCCTTTCTCTGCTGCTCCAGCTTGTCCCG